AGAACGAGTTCATGGGCTGGCTGCGGTGGCTCACGCCTGTAATCCCAGCACTTTGGGAGGCCAGGGTGGGCAGATCATGAGGTCAGAAGATTGAGACCAAACTGGCTGACATGGTGAAACCCCATCTCTACTAAAAACACAAAAAAATTATCTGGGCATGGTGGCAGGTGCTTCTAATCATAGCCACTCAGGAGGCTGAGGCAGGAGAATTGCTTGAACCCAGGAGGCGGAGATTGCAATGAGCTGAGATCAGGCCACTGCACTCCAGCCTGGGCAACACAGTGAGGCTCCATCTCAAAAAAAAAAAAAAAAAAAAAAAAAAAAAAAAAAGAAAAGAAAAGAAAAAGAATGAGTTCATGGTCTTCAGTCAACATCTCTCTCCTTGTCTATCTTATTCTTTCTTGTCCTGTAAAATACAGTTCACTGTTCCTCCCTTGCACAGTCCCAGATTGATTTCTGGTTTGGGGCAGTCGAAGTGCAGCGCCACCAAATCCTCTGAAACTGACAAGGGATCCATCTGCAGGCATAACCAAAGCTAGGCCCCCCTCTCTGAAGGCACAGACTGCCACCAGCTCCACTGGACCTCCTCCTTGTGAACCATCCACAAAGCTTCCTCAGTACTAAGCAAGAAAACGGCACCGAGAGATTACCAACACAAACAGCTCGGGTCAGATTGAGTTTTTGAATTTAATCATCGCTTTCCGTGGTTTCTGCAGTTCCCACAGTTTCTGTGGGATATGCTAAACGTCAACAACCAGAACTGGGCAAATATCATTTAAAGACTGTAAATAACAACCTCTTGCATTTAAATAGATGTTTTCATTTCATGGTGTTTTCACATTTATTATCCCAGTTGATGCTTCATCAACTCTGCAGAGAGAAGGCAGCTATTTCTCTTCACCTCTACCCCATCCTAACACCATCTTTTGCAAAAAGGAAAAAAAAAAAAAAAAAAAAAAAAGCAGATCTAGTTACTTGGTCCAAATTGCAAAAAGAAATGGAAGCCTGAATGCAGAACCCTTGCAAGTGTTGAATATTATTGGATTCCTTGAAATGACCATCTTGTACCCATATATTATGTGCCACAGCTCACTGGGCACTACCACTCTATTGCATTGTGTGCAAGGAAAAGGACTGAAGCCCAGGGAGGTCGAGTAGCCTCTGTGGAATGCAGACAGTGTGGAATCAGGCCTAAAACCCCGAGACCAACCCTTCCCCACAAGCTTCCCCATCCTGATGCTGTCCCCAGAGAGTGTCCTGTTTTGAGAACCTCGTGTAGTCTTAAGCCAGGGTGAATGTTTCCTTTTTATTTCTCATGCCACATTTATCTACAACTCTGATGTTCAATAATAACCTCCTTTCTGTACAGAAAGTTTGACGTGCTGCAGGAACCCCCTCTGAGGGACCTGCTGGGCCCTCCCAAACATGGAAATAAAGGAAAATCCTGAGTTCCCTGGAGAGAAATTACAGGCACCTAGCTAGCCTTGAGAAGCAAATGAGTAACTTGATAAGCAAGAAAGTAACAGTAGCTTAAAACAAAAGCCAAGGAAATTAGAGTCACAAGATACTTGGCTCCCTATGGAAACTAAAGATTACATAGTAACATACATCTCTGAAGTGTTTTTCAGAAACCTAGACTCCCACTAAATGAATCCACTGACACACAGAGCTCAAAAAGCAGCGAACTGAGGACTGAACTCTGACGTTTTTGTTCTGTATTTCTTCCTAAGGGGCCGGGAGGGAGGCACACCCATAGACCAGGACTTGACATTCCTTTCTGCTGACTAGAAGATTTTAGGCAGAGCTTCCATTACATAACCAATCTACAAATCAGAATCCCCGAATCCACCTGTGCTCTGTAAGCCCCCACTTCCAGATATCCCACCTAAACCCACCTTTTTAGGTGGAATAAACTAATATTTAATATTAAACTAATCTTTAACATCCAGATAGGAATATACAGTTTTACCTGTAACTTCTGCTTTCCTGAAATGTACCCCTGCCTTTAAAAGCCTTTGCTTGTAAGCCATTGAGGGGGTTAGGTCTTAAGCATGAGCAACTCAATTCTTGCTTGGTGCCCTGCAAATAAACGCCCTCCTTTCTTTCCCTGCAAAATCTCGGCATGGGAGTTTAGCCTTCCTGTGCCAGCAAGTGGACCCCAGTTCAGTAACATGTTCAGGAAGAAGTTCCCTTCACAGGTCAGATGGTATAAATTCAGACTAATGATCAAATAATGTCTCCTACAACTGAAATGTCAAATTGATGTGTATCTATTCAGAACAGTGCTGGACTCTGAAGGTAAAACAGAAAGATGGAACTGCCTTCAAGGAGGATGCAAGTCAGCAGAAGAGAAAACATCTTTAGGCAAGTAATTAGGATTTACATAAACATTCAAGAGCATAAACGAGGTTCGAGAGAGTATACCTGTGGTACCCTGCTGGACCTTGGAGAATAGAGTGGTGAGTGGAAGAGACCAGATTCTGTGCTTGTGGCAGAGTGTTGGGAATCAATTATTCACTCAAATAAACATGTAATTAACAACCTTCTAAGTGGGATGAAAGAAAAGTAACAGAGGTTCATGAGCATCTACACAGAGGGAACTGGCCTGTTTGGGTAGCGAGGGAGGGCTCTCTGGAGGAAGAGTGACTTTTCAGCTGCGATCTGAAGAAGCAGGAATTAATTGGGCTATGTGTAGAGTGGGGCAGCTACAGATAGTATGTGGGATGCCATTTCAGAGGAGGACAGACTGCTTGGTCTTGTGACATGAGCAGATGAGGTTGGACATGCATCTCAGAGGATGGGTGGATGCGGAAAGGGAGAAGGGGGGTGTGGAAGACATCTCTGGTGCCAGTGGAGTGCAGAGGCGGTAAAGTCTAAGTCCTGTTAATGCCTGCCGAAGTTTGCTAGTATCCTGGGTGGGAGAGTCTGCGTCATCTCCATCTCCTCTTCCCTGTGTAGCTATTCCTTGCCACCCTAATTTATACACACCGCCCAAGGCAACCTCAGCTTTTCTCAAAACAGTGGTTCAAACTAAGTTGGAGAAGCTGGCTAGATGGGATGGGTAAAAAGAGGAAGGCCCCAGGAGCAATCAGCGGAGGAAAGTCTCATCAGGCAAGCTGAGGGTGTGTGATGTGAGGACGAGGCCACAGGAAATCTGGTTGCAACAGGATCTGGAGTTCCAGGCAAACCATGCAGGAGCGTGTAGAACCCCCGATGCAGACTTTAGGTAACACTCTACTCCCCAGGAGAGAAGGGGCTTAGCAAAAGCAAGAAGGGACTGGATCCAGGACAAAAGGCCAAGCCATGCCTAAGAGCAGTGCCCCTCCCCGAGAAAGGAAATATGCTAACGTGGATAATGCATTTGCAGATAGACCTTGGCAGGTGCCTGTGATCTTGGTAAAGATAAAAATACACATTCTAGGCACCTTTATGAGTTCTCTTAAAGAGCTCTTTGGCTAGCTGGGCATGGTGGGTGATGCCTGTGGTCTCACCATTTTGGAAGCCTGAGGTGGGAGAATAACTTGAGCCCAGGAGTTTGATACCAGCATGGACAACACAGTGTGACTCCATGACAAAAATAAAAAGAAAAAAAAAAAAAAGAAAGAAAGAAAGAAATTAGCCAGACATGGCCTGTGGTCCCAGCTACTCGGGAGGCTGAGATGGGAGGATCACTTGAAGGTACCCTGAGCCATCATCGCACTGCTGCATTCCCATCTGGGTCACAGAGTGAGAGCCTTTCTCACAGAAACGACCAAACAAACAAAAAAGCTCATTACAGCTTTTTGGCACTGAAAGGAAATTTGAGATTATCCAATGTACACATTCTTTTTTCAAGTGAAGACACAAAGATTCATAGACTGAGCCACTTGCAAGTGTCACACAGCTCATTAGCCACAGAGCAAGGATGAAAACCCAAGTCTCTTAGCTCTTAATCCACTTCTCTTCCCACACATACTTCTAATTTTTAATTTTAAAGAGTTAGGTTAAATTAGGAAACAAGCCGACTACGATCAGTCCCATAATGAGCAGTGAATTTTCTCCTCATCACTGACAAGTGCTTTTATTCTGAGACTAGTTCACTTTTTGTCTATGATCATTCCATGTCATCTTACAAAGTCGTGTAGAGAATTTGTTTCAATTGTTAATAGCATTGCTTTCAAATATCACTATGAGCTGTTCCTTTATCTACAACCACATTTATTAAAGCTTCCATTTTCCCATGACTTTGGGAGGGTGGAATGTGGACATGTATCTACATGTGCACATTCACCTTGTACATATCAGGTTAGAGCCACAGCTGTGAAGACAGTTACCCAGAGAGTTCAATTGCTCCACAGCTATACAAGATCTATCTTTGAAACCCAGCTTTGCCTTTTTACCAAGTGAGTATGCTTGGGTAGCTAATTTAACTCCTCACTGCTAAGTGGTGATAGGAGGCCCTGCAATGCCCTATCCTAGCTCACAGGGCAGGATAACTTGGCATAACCCAACATTTCTTCTTTTTTCATTTAACATTCTTTGGACACTAATGGAGAAAAGCTGTCCTCTCCCCCTTTCCAAGGAAAAGGGCATTTTGCCAACAGAAGCCACCCCTGGACCTAAACTGCTGCAAGTAAATCATGGGAGAGGCAAGAAGGGAGAGAGAGACAGGGACAAATGTGACCGAAAAGGGAGAAACCCCATCCATTTCTACTTCCATTCCCATTAGTCCTATGTGAGGCAGCCAGTATCATGGTCCCCTCGCGCCTATGCACCCTCTCATGGGCTCCTATCCTCTGGATCCCATTTCTCACCATTGCAAATGCTTCGTCCTCTGTCTGGGGCCCTGCTCTTTCTGTCCTACCTGACCCTTCACCTTGGACCTGCGTCTAACTGTCAGCCTCCTCCCTGGGACTTGATGTTCCACTCTTCTCTGGGGTCCCCTATCTAGCATGCAGATCCCATTTCTTGTGCTGCTAAAGGACCCCTGGGGCCCACTAGTGTGAAAGAGAAAGCCCAGCATGGCCCTCATCTCCAGGGCATCCCGTGGTATGATCCCATCATCCAGCTTTGGCCAATTTGCATGTAGCTACAAACCTAAACTCTCACTTACACCCAACTTGGCTCCTACTTGGCGTCTGCGGAAGGATCTCAAACACAGACGTGGGACACTCATGCTCACCTTCCGGCATTCCATGGTGACTACGGATGGACACGACAACTGCAAAAGACCCCTGTCCTTCGTCCAGAATGCTTTCCCTTGGCCTAACAGCACTTCCATTCAGGCAATGCAGCCACAGCCACACAGTTGCCATCTGAACCCAGAGCCAAAGTATTGTGGTCTCGGCAGCCCCCACCTCTTCCCTGCAGACCTTTCTGTCCTCCTCCTACAGACTCCCTTTTATCTGGAGGTTCGCAATACACAGTTGGCTTTCCAAGGTTCACATTTCAAGGCGGTAGGCAGATATTCTCCCCCAGCCCCATTCCTGACATCCCACAGCATGGTCAAGATGCTTTTGCAAGTATGTCTCATTCACTCCTGAAAACACTCTCGCAAAGTGGGTATTATTAAACCTGTCTTACAGATAAGGAAAGTGAAGGCCCAGCAATGTTCAAAGACACACAGTGGGTTAGGGGTAGAAACGTGGGTCAAGCTCAGACCTCGCCTCCAAATGCCGTGCTTCCGTCACCTCATGAAGCTGCAGGAAGCCTGTGATCAGGCCTCGTCAGCCAGGGCCCCCGCATGCCAATCATATCACAGATTCAGAATGCCATCCCCAGGTTCCCCATTCGTGAGCTAATTCTAAACAGAGGGAGCTACTGTCTGCTGATCATGAGAGACTTTCCAGCTGTCAGAATGACTTCCCAAGAGAAATCCAGGGATGTCCCACTGACTTGTGCATTTAAAGTAGGGTGAGATAAACCTTCCAGAAACATTCCAAAGGAACAAATCTGTAATTGGGAAGGAAAGAAACAACCAAAATGGTCTTTCCAAATTCACATGTCTGTCATTAAGTGTCTCCTGAGGAAAGGGGGCAGAGAAACCAGGACCGATTTAGGGAAAGGTTCATCTAATTCTTTTATTTCCTCATTATAGGAGTTATCATATCCTAAGTCAGTGGAGAGATACCAGTGTTAACTGCCGGAAGAGGAGGTGGTCCGCCACTGTGCTGCCCCTTCCACTCGTCACTTTGAGAGGAACGATGGGGATTATTACTTCACAAGCGCAGAGAATGGGAAGGGGGTCAGTCTCCTGGCGCGGATCTGTAGTCTCAAATGTGGTCCTATGACACTGGTCCACTGCGATCTACCATGGCATATGAGGAGAGTAATTTGTTACTGTTAATGTATATTAAGTTTTGCAAATGTTTTTTCCTATAAATTAGAGAAAACTCAAAAACTGTCCCATCATTCTCACTGTAACATGCTTTCAAGAGTAGGATAGAGAGGTGTTGAGGAAAGGTCAATGGCACGGAGACACCCACAGCTTTGCCCACGGTGCTTTTTTGTTCAGATGGGAAAACATTTGTGACTGCATGTTCTTTTGTTTTGTTTTGTTTTGTTTTGAGATAGAGTTTCGCTTTTGTCACCCCGGCTGGAATGTACTGGCACCATTTCAGCTCACGGCAACCTCCACTGGGTTCAAGCGATTCTCCTGCTTCAATCTCCCGAGTAGCTGGGATTACAGACATGAGCCACCACGCCCAGCTAATTTTGTATTTTTAGTAGAGACAGGGTTTCTCCATGTTGGTTAGGCTGGTCTGGAACTCCCAACCTCAGGGGATCTGCCTGCCTCAGCCTCCCAAAGTGCTGGGATTACAGGCATGAGCCACCACACCTGGCTGCAGATTGTTAATACTACGTCTTTCCCTAATACTATTAGTAGCCTCTCTTTAGATTTCTGAGATTGAATAGAATTTATTTTTTAATGTAACTTCATTTCTAAATAAATAAAGACCAAGAGTAAGGGTCTCCATCAGGGGAATAATTTAGAGCCAGTATGTTGATTCATTGGGTGACTTTGGGCAAGTAATTCAACACCTCTGACTGTAGTTGCTTCATGTAAAAGACGTGGATCACTTACTGTCCTGCTCTGTATCTCTTGTGAGGATTTTTCTGATGCTCAGATGCAAATCAGTAAGAGCTGGTGTTATTAAGCACCTACTGCATGCAAAACATACATCTCAGTTAATTCACACAACAATGCCATGAAACAGGTTTATTATCCCATTTTACAAAGGGAAACTAAGGAAAGAGGTGACCTGTGCAGAAGTGTTTTTACATGTGTAGGAAGTAATTGAGTAATTTGCTGGGCATGGTGGCATCCACCTGTAGTCCCAGCTACTCAGGAGGCAGAGATGGGAGGTTCTCCTGAGCCTGGGCACGTTGAGTTGCAGGGAGCCATGATCACACCGCTGCACTCCAACCTGAGTGACAGAGTGAGATCTCGTCTCAAAAGGAAAAAAAAAGAAAAGGTAGAGGGAGTTGTAATCAAATATAAAAATTTAAAATATTTTACTATTAGAACTGTCAACTATAGATGCCTTAAATGTAAGAATTAAATATAGATAATTTTAAGCCATAAACCAGTCTGAGGAACCAGTGAGACACACAATCTTTGAAGAAAATATTTGCAGGGGTGAAAGGGTTCCTGTAGTCCTTCCTGTATTCTTGGCAGTAGGACACAATACTGAACAAAAGGCCCCAAACCGTCTGCTGTTATGAAGCTTGTATTCTTGTGGTTGACACAGATGGTGAATAAATACATTAGTAAAAATCAGAGTACGGTCATCTCTCAGCATCACTGGGGAATCGGTTCCAGGAATGCTGTGGATATCAAAGTCTGAAGATGCTCAAGTCCCTGCTATAAAATGGCATAAATCACACCTGCAATCCCAGGACTTTGGGAGGCTGATGGAGGCATATCAGTTGAGCCCAGGAGTTCAAGACCAGATTGGGCAACATGGTGAAACCCCATCTCTACAAAATATAATTTTTTAAACGGCATAGTATTTGCATATAACTGATGAACATCCTCCTGTATAGTTTAAGTCATCTCTAGATTACTGACAAATAAATTGTGGTTAAACTATATATTTTAAATTTGGCGATTTTTTTTTTTTTTTTTTTTTTTTTTGCTTTTTGTTTTTGAGATGGACTTTCACTCTTGTTGCCCAGGCTGGAGTGCAACGGCACAATCTTAGCTCACCACAACCTCTGCCTTGAGTTCAAGCAATTCTCCTGCCTCAGCCTCCCGAGTAGCAGGGACTACAGGCATGCACCACTACGCCCAGCTAATTTTGTATTTTTAGTAGAAACAGGGTTTCTTTGTGTTGGTCAGGCTGGTCTCAAATTCCTGATCTCAGGTGATCCACCTGCCTCAGCCTCCCAAAGTGCTGGGATTAGAGACACAAGCCACTGCTCCCAGCCCTCAATTTGTATTTTTAAATTATTAAATTGTTTTTTTTTATTTTTCAATTATTTTCAATCAGCAGTCAGTTGCATTCCTAGATGTAGAACTTACTGATACAGAAAGCCAGCTATATGTCAGATGGTGATAAAAGCTAAAGAGAAAAATAAAACCAGAAAGGGGAAAGGGGAGTTGCAAGTTGAATACACGGTCAAGAAAGATCTTGCTAAGAAGGTGCCACCTGAGCAAAGACCTGAAGAAGATGAGGGGTGAGCTATGCTGATGTTGGAGGAGGAATCTACCAGAGAATGCAGCAGACCAGGGGATAAGATCCCAAATCATTTGATGTTCTTGTGGACATTCCCAAAGGTGAGACCACTGTGGTATTCTAAGGATTCTGAGACTGAGAATAGGAAGAAAGGAGGGCCTCAAGATGGCTGACTAGAGGCATCTGGTACTCGCCTCCTTCATAAAGAAAAACCAAAGTAGTGAGGAAATAATCATACTTCAAGTATACCATCTAAGAAAGAATGCTGAAATTCAACAGAGAAGTGACAGGAAACTCCTACAGCAAAGAAAGAGAGGGAAATGAGGCAGCCTGCTCAGCTGCCTCACCAGGATTGGCTGCCTTGGACCTGAGGGTCACACCCCACCCCTTCCTACTGCAGCCAACACATGCATGTACCACCAGGGAGCCTGAGGATAGATCCATGTGGCCTGATTCTGCAGCACCAGTGCCTGAGCACATTGTTGGGGAACTGGGGACCACCCAGTTCAGTCCACCACCATTGGCACCTGAACACTCCTTCCAGGGGCCTGAGGTCAGGCCCACCCAACCTGCTGCTACCACCACAGCAGGCACCCACCCAAAGGCCTGGGGACTGAACTACCCAGTCTGTCATGGCCACCACCAACACCAGCATGGAGCACTTGGGACCCAGAGGTTAGTCCCACCACTACGCTGCCATTGTCCATGTCACACTTGCTGTCGAGGAGCCCGAGAACCCGCTCATCTGCTTAGCCACCACTGGCACTACTTATACCTGAGAAAGCCACCTGGTGGTGTAAGAATTGATCCATTTTGAACTCAGTAGCACCAGTGCCAGCATATGACACCCTGGGACCCAAGGATAGGCATACTTGGGCCACCACTCCCATCACTAGAGTCCAAAGACAGGCCCCCTACCCCCTACTTATTTCCATATCCAGCAAAGCTTCATCACAGGCTTCACTAACAGCTACACTCTAAGTTACTGAAAGGAAGCAGATACCACCAACATTGTTTATGGCACAAGAAATCATACAGAGACTATACTACTATATGCACCCAGAATCAAAGCCAATCCAAAAAATCAAAGCCTATCCAGCCAACACTATAGATACATCTTCAGGAAAAAAAAGTCCTCCCCTTCAAAAGCAAATTCAAAAAATTGAAACAGGCAACTGTTACATCAGATGCATAGATATTAATGTAAGGACAAATAAAAAGTGACAGAGGCTGTCATACAAAAATATGACACCTCCAGAACACAATGATTCACCAGCAACAAATTCCAATCAAAAAGAAATTTATGAAACCTCAAAAAGAGAATTCAAAATAATGATATTAAGAAGCTCTGTGAGATACAAGGACATACAGAAAAACAATACAAAAATAGAAAAACATTACAGGATATGAATGAGAAATTCTAGAAGTTCTAGAACTGAAAGGTTTATTAAATGAAACACAAAACACATGCAAAAGCTTCAAAAATAGATTAGAAGAAGCAGAAGAAAGACTTTCAGAGCTCTACGTTCTTTTGAAATAACCCATCAGACAAAAGTGCAAAGAAAATAATTTTTTTAATGAAAACAGCCTACGTGACATATGGCATACCATAAAGCAACCAAATATTCAACATTTTCATATTACAGAAGGTGAAGAGAAAATGAATGGGTTAGAAAACGTATTTGATAAAATAATAGCTGAAAACCTCCCAAGTCTAAAAATAAATTTAGACATCAAGAGGCAGGAAGCTCAGAGATTCCCAAACAGATACCATACAAAAAGGTCTTCTCTACTGTACATTATAGCCAAAGTGTTAAAAGTCAAAGATAAAGAGACAATTCTAAAAATAGCAAGAAAAAGGCATCTAGTGACTTAGAACCCCCAACAGACTAACAGTGGACTTCTCAGCAGAAACGTTACAAGCTAGGAAAGAATGGGATGATATATTCAAAGTGCTGAAAGAAAAGAAAGGTCAGCCAAAGATACCATATTTAGCACAGTTATGCTTAATAAATGATGGTCAAATAAAGTCTTTCCCAGACAAGCAAAAAGTGAGAGAATTCATCACCATCAGATCAGTCCTACAAGAAATGCTTAAGGGAGTTCTATACCTAAAAGGCAAGAGACAATATCTACCATCATGAAAACACATGAAACTATGAAACCCAGTGGTGGAGCAAACACACAAAGAAAGAAGAAAAGGTAATCAAATGTTACCACTGCAGAAAACCACCAAACCACAATGATACACAATAAGCGATAAAGAAACAAACAAAGGATATGCAAAACAACAAGAAATCAATTAACGAATGCAAACAGATTAAACTTTCCACTTAAAAGATATCGACTGGATGAATGGGTGGATGAAAATACATGATCCAACTGTATACTGCCTACAAGAAACTCATCCCACCTGTAAAGATACACATGGACTGAAAGCAAAAGCATGGAAAAAGATTTTCTACACAAATAAAAACCAAAAGTGAGCAGGAGTAGCTATACTTCTATCAGATCAAAAGACAAAAACAGTACAAAAATATAAAGAAGGTCAGTATATAATGATAAAGGGATTAATTCAGCAAAATAATATAACAGTTCTAAACATATACGTACCCAATAGTGAAGCATCTAGACATATAAAGCAAATATTAGATCTGAAGGAAGAGAAATACTTCAATACCCTAATCGTTGGGAACTTCAACACTTTACTCACAGCATTAGACAGATCATTACCAGGGGTGTCCAACCTTTTGGCTTCTATGGGCCACACTGGAAGAATTGTTTTGGGTCACACCTAAAATACACTAATGATAGCTGATGAATTTAAAGAATCATCGCAAAGAAATTCGATGTTTTAAGAAAGTTTATGAATTTGTGTTGAGCCACATTCAAAGCTGCCCTGGGTTGCATGCAGCCTTTGAGTTGGACAAGCTTAATTGATCTACACAGAAAATTTAAAAAGAAAACATTGGAATTAAACTGCACATTAGAACAAATGGACCTAACAGACATTTACAGTACATTTCACCCAACAGCTACACAATATACATTCCTCTCATTCATACTTGGAACATTCTCTAGGATCAACCATATGTCAGAAGACAAAAACAAGTCTTAACAAATTTTTGAAAGTCAAAATTATGTCAAGCATCTTCTCAAACCACAAAGTAATAAAACTAAAAATTAATAACAAGAGGAACTTGGGGAACTGTACAAATACATGGAATTTAAGCAACATGCTCCTAAATGACAATTGGGAAATTAAGGGGAAAACAGAAACATCTTTTAAAACAAATGAAAATTGAAACACAATATACTAAAACCTATGGGATACAGCAAAATCAGTGCTAAGAGAGAATTTTATGGCAGCATGTGTCTACATCAAAAAAGTCAAAATATTTCAAATGAACAATCTAACAATGTACCTTGAGGAACTAGGAAAACAAGAATAAAGCAAACTCAAAATTAGTAAAAGGAAAGAAATAATAAAGATCAGAGCAGAACCAGAGAAAACAGACTACAAAAATTACAAAGGATCGGCCAGCGTGGTGGCTCATGCTTGTGATCCCAGCACTTTGGGAAGCCAAGGCAGGCAGATTATGAGGTCAGGAGTTCAAGACTACCCTGGTCAACATGGTAAAACCCTTCTCTCCTAAAAATACAAAAAATTAGCCAGGTGTGGTGGCAGGTGTCTGTAGTCTCAGCTACTCAGGAGGCTGAGGCAGAAGAATCACTTGAACCAAGGAGATTGAGGTTGCAGTGAGCCAAGATCATGCCACTGCATTCCCGCCTGGGCAACACAGTGAGACACCACCAAAACAACAACAACAACAGCAACAACAACAAAGCCCACAGATTACTTTGAATCTGCAGATCCTTTGTAAGTACCAACATCCTTTTTCACAGAAACGGGAAAAACAATCTTACAATTCATATGGAACCAAAAGAGAGCTAGAAAAGCCAAAGCAATCCTGAGCAAAAGAACAAAGCTGGAGACATCCACTACCTAAAATCAAAACATATTATAAGGTTGTAGTAACCAAAACAGCATGCTATTGGTATTACAAAGAGACACATACACCAATGGAATAGAGAACCCAGAAATAAATAAATGTATTTACAGCTAGCTGATTTTCAACAAAGGTGCCAAGAACAAACATTGGGGAAAGGACACTCTGTCCAACAAATGGTGCTGGGAAAATTGGGTATTCATACACAGAAAACTAAGACTGGACCCCTTTCTTTCACCATACAGAAAAATCAACTCAAGAGATTAACGACTTAAATCTAAGACCTGAAACTATAAAACTACTAGAAGAAAACACAGGGGAAACACTTCAGGACTTTGGTTTGGGAAAAAATTTATGGCCAAGACCTCAAAAGCACGAGCAACAAAACCACAAATGGGACTATATTAAACTAAAAAGCTTCTACACAGCAAAGAAAACAATGAACAGAGTAAAAAGACAACTTGCTGAATGGGAGAAAATATTTGCAAACTATGCATCTGAGAAGGGACTAATACCCGGAATATACAGAAACACATACAACGCAACACCAAAAACAAAAACAAGTAATTCCCAAAATGTGGGCAAAGGACAGGAATAGACACTTCTCAAAAGAAGACATATAAATGGCCAACAGGTATACAGGAAAATGTTCTTCATTGCTAACCATTGGAGAAATGCGAATCAAAACCACAATGAGGCCGGGCACGGTGGCTCAGGCCTGTAATCCCAGCACTTTAGTAGGCCAAGGTGGGTGGATCACCTGATGTCAGGAGTTCAAGACCAGGCTGACCAACATGGTGAAACGCCATCTCTATTAAAAATATAAAAAGTTAGCCTGTGCTTGTAGTCTCAGCTACTCAGGAGGCTGAGACAGAATTACCTGGGAGGCAGAGGTGAGCCGAGATCACAACATTGCACTTCAGCCTGGGCAACAGAGTGAGACTCCATCTCAAAACAAACAAACAAACGAACAATAACCACAACGAAATATCATTTTACCCCCAGTTAGAATGGCTGTTATTAATAAGACAAAGAGTAACAGATGCTGGTGAGGATATAAAGAAAGTGAACTCTCATACACTGTGAGTGGGAATGTCAATCAGTACAACCATGGAAAATAGTATTTCTCAGAAAACTAAAAATTGAACTACCGTATGATCCTGCCACCCTCCTATTCTGTGTTTATCTAAAAAAGAAATCAGTATGTCAAAGAGATACCTATCCTCCCAACTTCACTGCAGCACTATTCACCATAATTAAGCTATGGAAACAATGTACATACCCACAAATGAATGAATGAATGAATGACAAAAATGTGAGATATATAAACACACATTATGAAATAGTATTCATACATAAAAAAGAATAAAATCATGTAATTTGCAGCAACATGGATGGAACTGCACATCATTGTATTAGGTGAGATGAACCAGGCACAGAAAGACAAATGCCATATGTTCTCATTCATATGTGGAAGCTAAAAAAAAATTGATATCACAGAGATAGAGAATAGAATGATAGATACCAGAGGCTGGGAATGGTGTGTATGCATAGAGGGAATGCAGACAGACTGGCTGGCTAATAGGTACAAAGAGACAAACATACAATACACTTAGAAGAAATAAATTCTGATGTTTGAGAGCAAAGTACAAGTTAACAACAGTGTATTGTATATTTCAAAATAGCTATAAGAGAGGACTTGAAATATTCCCAAAATATAGAAATAATAAGTACTAGAGGTGACAGACATCTCAAATACCCTGATTTGATTATCACACAGTCTATGCATGTAACAATATATTACATGTACCCCACAAACAGGTATGTTAGTATCAATAAAAAATGCAAACCAAATAATAATAATCATAGGAAGAAATATAATTGATCCACGACATATTCTTGATCATCCCTGGAAAGTCTCATTCTTGTCTTAGTATTTAATACAGATATCAACCCATCGTGTTACACTGAGATGCTAAAAATCCTTGTTTGGAAAGCCCCCAAATGCAAGGGACTCATGTTGAAATCCCATTTCAGAGGCCTGTGCAAGAAATTATCATTGCTTTCAGAATACACAGAAACTGCTAAGTTTTTCCTGCCGCTCTCTCTTGTCTACAAAACTGAGCAGAAGAGTGTGCCCTCTGGGGCCAAAAAAGCGACTCCTTCAAGATTCTGTTGCCAAGCAGGGTAACATGCTTTCAAACCCACAGCATTTTAGCCCTCAAAGGAAAGCCCAGCCCCTTCACAGCTTGGGTGTCCCGCTGGCTGGTGACAGAGCCACTGTCCTGAACTGCCACCCTCTCTGCTCGGCCCCTCCCCTCACGGCCCCTGCCCCCACTCCATGATTAGGTATGCATTTCAGATTTTGAATGGATCTCCTTGTCTGGCGTTAATTGACAGTGAAAACCCGGTTTTCAAAGCCAAGGTACAAGCACTGAAGGTAAGTGATCAGAGGACTGCCCTCGCAATAAATCACTGCCGCGCAGGTCACCGTTTGGAGTGTGAATGCAGTGTTCAATAAAGAAACACACTCCACCTTTCAGCTTCAAGCCGACCCTAGCTAATTGACCTCATTGTAGTCCCCCCATTAATCATTCTGGCACATGGGGCAAGAGGCAGTTTCACTGCTTAGGTTTGCAGGGAGGAGGGGGACAGAGTCCGTGTGGGGGTGGGTGAGGGTTGAGGGGGCAGTTATAATGTAAAAGGAAATCATAGACCATTCTGCCTTAATTAACTCATTGGATTTCCAAGTTGACCAGATATGGTTAATTTTGCTAAAGGAATGTGGGGAAGAGTGCAGGGGCCTTCATTAACGTCATGCCAGGTTGCAGGAGTTTGGGGCTGTAACCAAAGCAGATGTGAGCATCTGTAGACCATGCAGAGACCAGCAATGCCAAAGGACTGGGACGTTTGCCTAATGCTACATAATCATTCAGTGTCATCGATCTCCCCAGACCCTGATTAATACATTGCAGCAGAAGTCTTTTACAGCGGTGACTACAATTTTATTTCGCCTATTAGAAGCCCATCCCAGTTCACACCAGCCATGCAGGACGAGCTTACCCACCCCTCCCTCCCACCCCTCCAGGCCTATCCATAGCTCTGAATTCATTTTGCTTGTGCACTTCCAGGGGCCTGTTTCGGTTGAGAAATGCGGGGTGCCTTTTGCAGGTCCCTCCATTGTGCCAAGCGAACCCCACGCTGACCACAGGGAACAGAAAGGGAGCGTGAACAGAGAGGTGAATTTGAACAGCAGCTTGAGGTTTTTTTTTTTTTTTTTTTTAATGCAACACAGCAAGCATAATTTGGGCACCCATGATATGCCAAGCATTGCACTGCACTAGAAAGAAACGCACACCCACATGCACACACACAACATGATTTGGTCATGCTCTTCAAGGAACTTGGAATCTGCATTGATCCATTTATATTCTCGAAATGCAAGATCTGCCTTTTTGTACCACGCTGCTTTAAATTAGGCCTTTCTAAAAGATCTGTTTCCCTAGGGTTAGTCGCAATTATTCATGAACGCAACAGTTTCACAGTTCACAGGGGTACACAAAACCCCAAAGGTCAGCAACTTTCATTTTGAGAGGAAGAGAATGAAAAAGTGAGGAGGGTGAAGGGAGAGCCGATGCTCGATGCTCACTTTATACCATGCACGTCTCCCTGCTGCTGTCTTCCCCGTGTTTCATTACTGTTAATGAACTTAATTGTTTGGTTTCAGAACGCCAGCCTGAAGGCATCACTCTCCACCCCCCTCAGCGCTGATACTCACTCTTGCTTATCTCCAAATTAACTTGTAAGCAAATACTTCAAGTCTGTGCCCTTCCCTGACAAGCACTTGGAGGAGAAAATTCAGGCCAAGACTCAAGGACGGATTCAGATGGAGCTTCGAGAAAGACAGAGTGGGTGCATTCAGATCCCCACTTGGTACTGTGTGTAATTCAATTCCACTTAACTGCATTTACGGCGTGTCTACTATATGGCCCAGTAATCATGCCAGTCATTGGGTTTAGAAGGTTGATAAAACACAGTCACTGACCTCCAGGAAGGCATGGTTTCTTACCAGCCCAGCAAACTGATCAAATTTCCTTGGTTCTATTAACAACGCAACCACACCTACGGGACCTGCAAGCTAAATAAAATAGAGAATATATACATATCTACTAAAATATATGTATTTTAGTAGATATGTATATCTACTAAACTATCTACCCCCCTTGGCCTCCCCAAGTGTTAGTATTATAGGCGTGAGCCTATAATTAAACTATAAACTATCTATATAAACTATCTATCTACTAAACTATTTACCTACCTCGGCTGCCCCAAGTGTTGGGATTATAGGCATCAGCCACTGCACCCGGCCACCTGTATATAATGTTCAAGCTAAGAAGACAGAGAGGCAAGTTTAACTATTGCATATATATATATATATATATATATATATATATATATGCAATATATATGTGTATAAAACTGTGCCAAGTTTTACGAGAGGCCAGAGAATGGTGTGAACATTTGGGCTGCACTCAGCACGCCTCACACGAGCAGCTCTCAGAATCTCCCTGTGAGAGGCTTGGGGAGACATGGAACCCTGGGTCTCACCCCCAGACATTTTGATTCTGTCATCTAGGGTGAGGCTCATGAGTTTGCATCTTTTTTCTTTTTGAAAAGGAGTCTTGCTCTGGCGCCCAGGCTGGAGTGCAACGGCATGATCTCGACTCACTGCAACCTGCCTCACCTGGGTTCAAGCCATTCCCTTGCCTCAGCCTCCTGAGTAGCTGGGACTACAGGCGTGCACCACCACACCTGGCTAATTTTTTTTTTTTTCTTTGTATTTTTAGTAGAGACAGGGTTCACTATGGCCAGGATGGTCTTGATCTCCTGATCTCCTCATCTGTCCGCTTCAGCCTCCCAAAGTGCTGGGATGACAGGCGTGAGCCCCCGTGCCCGGCTGAGCCTGCATTTTTAACAAACTCCAGGGTGGTGCTGAAGGACCCCACCTTTAGGAGTCTTGAGGCTCAGAGGACAGCAAGGCAGGGCTGCCCCAGGTTCCCCACTCTCTGTCCCTGTCACCCCATCTGCAGGCAGATGCTAGCTCCAAGCCCCGTCCCTACGGACAACTGAGTCATTACCCCGCAAAGCTAATGTGGAAACAGAAAATTGACCTGGAGACCTCAGCACTTTTTCCAGCCTCATCCCCAGCCACTTCCCCGATGCTGGTCACCTTTCAAAGTGGTCTCTGCCCTGTAGTTTGGGGCTAGCTCCAAATAACCCCACCTCCACCATCCCAATTGTTAGGAGTTCATGGTACCCTGTGTGTCTCTGTAATATGATTCAAGGCCAACACACATACACACACACACACACACACACACACACACACACACACGGCAGCTCTACTCAAGGAGAGGCACAGGCTTTGGAATCACAGATGTAGGTAGATTTCAAAGTTTGTCCATTCACAAGCTATGCAGGCTTGTGTACGTCATTTAACCTCTTCATCAAGACTCAGTACTATCCCTTGCATTACTATATTAAGTCTGAAGGGCTAGTTCTGCCCCACCATAAAGGCTAGACTTTCTATAAGAAAATTCTGGTGAATTATTGCGACTAATGGTATAGTTTGGATCTGTCCTCACCCAAATCTGACATTGAATTGTAATCTCCAGTGCTGGACATGAGGCCTGGTGGGAGGTGTTTGGATCATGGGGGCAGATGCCTCATGAACGGCTTGAGCCAACCCCTTCATGGTAAGTGAGCTCCTGCTCCGAGTTCACAGAAGATCTGGTGGTTTAAAAGTGTGTGGTACCTCCCCCACCACATTCATTGCCTCTCTCTCTCTCTCTCTCTCTCTCTCGCTCTCGCTCTCGCTCTCACTCATTCTCTGGCGCTCTCTCGCTCGCGCACGCTCTCTCTCTCTCTCTCTCTCTCTTTCCCCTCTTTTCCTCTTTTTCTTTCCCTTTTTCTCTCTTTCTCTTTCCTTCTTTCTCTCCCTCCTGCTTTCATCACATCATGTGCCTGCTGCCCCTTCACTTTTTACCATGATTGGAAGCTTCCTGAGGCCTCCCAAACTGATACTGCCATCATGCTTCCTGTACAGCCTGCAGAACTGTGAACAAATTAAACCTCTATTCTTTTAAATTACCCAGTCTTTTTTTTTTTATAGCAGGGCAAGAACAGCCTACCACAACTAGTCACAAAGATAACATGCCAGACCAAAAAAAAAAAAAAAAAAAAAAAAAAAAAAAAAAAAAAAAAACTATTCTAGTATTTCCTCTTCTTTACTCCTTCTTCTAGAAACAAAACATTCTGTCAACTTAGCACGTGAACCAGAAACAGGAACCCCTTGGAGGCTTCAACAGGAACCCCTTGGAGGCTCCCCCACCAACAGGAACCCTCTGGAGGCTGCACTGCCCTCTCCCATCCAAATCTGATTTTCTTCCAAGCCCATCACACACCTCACGTGCTTCTACGCACTCAGTGCCCACACCATTCATTTTTACATGTGGAATAATCACAACTGAAAATGTCAGATAGTCTCAAGAATTAGACATCTTTCTTGACCTTCTCAACAGTTGTGTTAGTCAGGGTTAGAGACCAGCCTGGACGACATGGCAAAACCTCATCTCTACCAAAAATACCAAAAAAAAAAAAAAAAAAAATTGGCTTAGTGTGGTGGCAGATGACTATAATTCCAGCTATTGGGGAGGCTGAGGTGGGAAGAACACCTGAGACTGTCCTCCAATAGTTTAATGCGCTATCCTAGCTTTCCTTATGGGTCTCAAGGCTTCCTCTCTTATCTCCTTTCCGGTCCAGATCTGCACATCACTATCTTGATTAAAATGATATTCAGCTTCTGGTTTAAAGTAGTATCTGAATCTGGGCCTTAATTCAATCTTTCCCAACTTCCCACTAAAGTATCTTTCAAAACACTTAAAAAAAAAAAAAAAAGATTAAAACCCAACTCAAAAGATTAAAAACAACCAAAGGAAAAGAAAATCTTCCAGACAAAATAATGCTAAAACCCAGAAGGAATCCCCAGAACCTACAGTAAAACAGAGTTTTGTTAAATAAAATCTGGCCAATTATTGTCTCATGAATCTCAGTCTTTGCTTCATAAAAAGGAGATCATTTAAAAAGAAAGGAAGATGGGAGGGAAAGAAAAGAAGGAGAAAGAGAGAGAAAAGAGAAAGGAAGATAAGTCATCCCTCCCTTACCGCTGTCTCCTGACTCAGACCCGGAAGTTGTAAGACCCAGAAACTTAGGGTGCAGGTGCCACCTTTTAGTCTCAGCAGGTACTGTTCCCCTCTGTCACACATTCTCACCCAACATTTGTTTTCTAACTGTTCAGATTTAGCAATGCCCGCCAGAGCGCACACTCCCTCCTGCTGTGGCTCCAGCAGCAGCCGGGCCTGCGGACTGTGGACATCCGGGCCCAGTTACTGATCGGATCCGGGAACAGCAGCCAGAGCACCCACATGACCCAGAAGGACCAGCAAGAAGTGATCCAGAAGTTACGAGATGGAACCCTGAACCTTCTGGTGGCCACGAGTGTGGCGGAGGAGGGGCTGGACACCCCACAGTGCAATGTGGTGGTGCGCTATGGGCTCCTGAACAATGAGATCTCCATGGTCCAGGCCAGAGGTCGTGCCCGAGCGGGTCAGAGCGTGTACTCATTTGTAGCAACTAAGGGTAGTCGGGAGCTGCAGCGGGAGCTGATCAACGAGGCGCTGGAGACGCTGATGGAGCAGGCAGTGGCTGCTGTGCAGAAAATGGACCGGGCCGAGTACCAGGCCAAGATCCAGGATCTGCAGCAGGCAGCCATGACCAAGCGGGTAGCCCAGGCAGCCCAGCGCGAGAGCCAGCGGCTGCAGTTCCCCATGGAGCACGTGCAGCTACTCTGCATCAACTGCATGGTGGCCGTGGGCCACGGCAGTGACCTGTGGAAGGTGGAGGGCGCCCACCACGTCAACGTGAACCCCAACTTCTCGATCTACTATAACGTCTCCAGAGAGCCTGTGGTCATCAACAAAGTCTTCAAGGACTGGAAGCCTGGGGGTGTCACCAGCTGCAGGAACTGTGGGGAGGTCTGGGGTCTGCAGATAATCTACAAATCGGTGAAGCTACCAGTGCTCAAAGCCGCGCTCTGAACAGGAAATGTGGGGAAAAAGTAGCAACATATGACAGCCGAGGCCAAATCCCAGTGAAAGCGTTCTTTAAATAGGAGCAGAGGTAGAAATAAACAAGGTGGCTCTATCTTCTAGGATCGGAGCAGCTATGTATTCCATCAATCGAGACAGTCGTCAGTCCAAGTAGAGGGGAAGAGCATATTACCATTAGAAAGCAGCTCTAACCCGTAGTTTCAACGCTAGCTAATCCATCAACATGCTTCAAAATAGCAGATGCACAACGCATATAAGGATGTCATAAATATCACAAAAGGAAGGAAGGATGTCAGCATCCACTGATAATTGCATATACATTTTACTAAATGTATTAGTGAAATGAATAGAAAATACGTTTGTAATTTGATTTCTGTGAAAAACAATTGGCTGGGCATGGTGGCTTACACCTGTCATACCAGCGCTTTGGGAGGCCAAGGCAGGCAGATCACCTGAGGTCAGAAGTTCAAGAACAGCCAGGCCAACAGGGTGAAACCCCATCTCTACTAAAAATGCAATAAATAAATAAATAAATAAAATAGCCAGCCATGGTGGCACACACCTATAATCCCAGCTACTCAGGAGGCTGAGGCAGGAGAATTGCTTGAACCAGGGAAATGGAGGTCGCAGTGAGCCGAGATCACACCACTGCACTCCAGCTGGGGTGACAGAGTGATACTCTGTCCAGAAAACAAAACAAAAGAAAGAAAAATTATCTGTACTTGCTTCAGGAAAATATATACTAAAATTTTAAAAGACACAGGCATGGATAAAATGTAAACTCTTCAAATCATCTCTACTTTTATATCTTGTTCAAGAGACACACAGCGAGAAAAAGAAAATCTCTTTGAATACAGCATCTAATATACTTAAAGCAAAAGCATTCTTTTAAAATCAAGAACAAAACAAAGATGTATTTAGCATTGTTGAGAAAATTTTGGTCAATGCAATAAGTCAAAAACACATTAATGAGGTATAAATATAGAAAATGATTCTTTGCAGATGATATTATTTGTCTAAAATATCCCTGAAAATCAACTAAACAATGATTGAGTCTAATACCTTTGTCAACCTTCATTTTAGAATCACCTGGAAAGCTTTTAAAAACTATCAATACCTGAGGCTCACCTCAGAAATTCTGATATAATTGTTCTTGACTGAGGCCTGGCTCCACATCTGTTTTAAAAACTCCCAGATACCTTTAATATACATCTAAGCTTGAGAACCACTGATAAAAAACATAGGAAATATCCAATATCCAATACATTTTTCTTTATGTCACCAAGGACCAATTACAAAATATGATGCAGAGAAAATTCCACTAATAACAGTATAAAACATTCATATTAATAGAATTACCCTGTGATTCAGCACTTCTAATTCTGGATATATACCCCAAATAATTTAAATAAGGAGCTCAAGGAGATGTTTTTACATTCCAGTTTATATCGGTATTACCCACAGTATAAAGAGTTGGCAGCCAATTAAGTGTTCATGGATGAATGAATGGATAAACAAAATGTGATATATATAATATGACAGAACATTCAGTCTTTTAATTGTGACTCATACAACATGAATGAAACTTGATAATGTTAAACAAAATAAGCCAATCACAAAAAGAAAAATACTTATAAACTCCATAAAGAAAAATACTTTATCTGAAGTACCCAGGGTAGTCAAATTCACAGAAATAGAAAGAATGTTGGCTGCCAACACTCTGTGATAAGAGGGAATGGGGAGTTGTTTAATGAGTAAAGAGTTTTCCTCTTGCAACATGAAGTTATATTAAAATCTGAATGAGCTGGAAATGAGCTTTACTGCTGAATTATATGCTTAAAAATGGTTAGGACGGTAAATTTTATGCTATGTCTATTTTACCACAACTTAAAGTGTTTTTAAAGTCATTTAAAAGAAAAACAAAAAAAATACTAAGTTTTAAAACAAATGTTAGATGAAAAACTTTCATATAAGGAACTGTTTCTTCATGCGATGGCTCAAAGCCATAAAGATGCCAGTTATTTTTAAATTAATTTATAAATGTGTTTCATTGCAATCAAATTTTAAACATGTTTTGTGTGGCTGAACAAAATAATTCTTCAGTTTGTTAAAAAGAATAAACATCTGCTACTAGACAAGAAAAAAATAGGACTACAAGGTGGCCTGAATTTCCCAATATTAAAATGTATTAGAAAGATATACTACTTAAAAGAATATGATAATAGCACAGGGAATGACAGATCATTAAAGTGAAACAGAAAGCTCTGAAACTCACCCCATATGCATAAGAATTCATGATAAAGGTGAATGCAGAGTAAGAATGAATTACTTAATAAGGTACATTTAGACAACTGGTTAGCCATTTGGGAGAAAAGTAAAGTTACATCTACCTTACACCATGTACCAAAATAAATTTCACATGACCTAAGTCTTTCAATGTAAAAAAGAAAGTAAGTAGTTTTTTAAAACCTAGAAAAAATACAGATGGAGATGTTTTTTTAATCTCAGGGCAGGAAAGACCTTTCTAAGCAGTCTCCGGAAGACAAAACAAAGATAAAGCAAGCAGCTTGAAAGCTGATTCCTCAGGGCTGAGGATGGTGGAAGGTTGGGAGAGAAAGGACTCAAAGAATACAGACCTAAGAGTGAAGGGTGGGGCTTCACACAGACTATGACTCCTGCAGGGACCCTGTGGGACACTGTAGTTCATCCAGGGATCCTGAAAAGGCTGCACTGTCAGTAAAGAGTGAACTTTAAAACTCCTATTTAACACCTCAGGGAAGAAAAAAGCATCATTATCTCTGACTAAGTTTTGGGGGATCAAAAAACAAAAACCTCCTGGAAGAAGGTGAAAACTCAAGTCTATGCCATATGCAGGCATGAAGTACAAATTAAGCACTTTTTTTTTTTTTTTTTGTAAAATTCATCCCAAGCCAATGATTTTTTTTAAAAGAGCATGTGTGGCTCTTTCAAGAATACTTTTTAAATGCTCACTGTGGCTGAACTTCCAAAAATATTATCAATCACAAGGAAAAACAATTTTCTATGAGCAGCAGTCATAAGCTTTTTTAAAAAAGGTGGCAGTTACCACCTCTCAAAACTTCAGATAATATTCTTCCAACAGAAAAGCATAAACTAAATATGTTTTAAATTGTCAAAATGATGAAAAGATGGTATACAAAATATACTGAAGAAAAGCACATTATAAAAATAGGCACGTTTGAAAAAAGAGTAGAATAGAATTTAAAGAAATAAAATATATAGTCATTGGAATAAAACCTAAAAAAAATAATTAATTAAGCAGATGAGTCCCAGGTTAAAAACATATTAAAACATTAGGAGAGTGTTCTGAGGTAATTACCCACAATAAAAATAATGGGGGAATTTAAAGAAATGGAAAATATAAAAGAGTGGTTAAGAGATACGGAAGACAGAATAAGAAAGTCCAACATACGTCTAATAGGAGTTTCAGGAAAAGGCAATAGGGAAAAAGAAGAGAAGGAATATTTTTTTAAAAAATGACTAAGAATTTCCTAGCATATATTAGTTAATACCATATATATTCATGAAGCTCTACCATGTGCCCTGCACATGGTATTTTAGGTACTAAGAAGAAAGTAATGAATGAAAACAAAAAATCCCTGCTTTCATAGCATATACCTTCTAAAAGAACAAAAGATAATTTTGTGGTTCTTCTTTTTTTTAATGATCTACTTGCTAGGGAAAGAGAAAAGATAATTTTTAAAGTAAAATTTGATATATTACTAAGTATTTGCTATTGCAACCAGACAATCCCAAAATCTCAATGGTTTACAATACTTGTTCTTCATGTTAAATGAGGGTTATAGGTTCCCTGTGGCTCTACTCCAGGCTGGGAGTTGACTATAGGTCTAATCTATGAGTTCCAGGATGCAGGCTGAAGAAACAGCCCCTATCTTGGGCATGCTCTTCTAGTGGCAGAGGGCAAAAATACAAGACACAAAGCCAATCACACTGTTGTGCTGAAAGTTTCTGCTTAGAAGTGACCTGTGTCATACTTGCTCACATTCTATTGATATAAACAAGTCACAAACCCAAAGCTGACAATGGTACGCACTAGAGACAAGCACACCAAGAGTGGATATGCATAACCTTCCTTCAGAGAAGGGAACAAGTAATTGTGAATAAAAAATAAAGCCTACCATAATATGTTCAGTGGTAGTAATTGCTATGGAGAAAACCAAAACAGAGAATGGGGATAGGAATTACTGGGGAGTGTGCCATTTTAGATAGGCAGACCAGGGCAGGCACAAAGAAAGTAATCTGCGATTAAGACCTGAAGGATATTATGCAAATATCTTGGAGAAGAATGTTTTGGGAAGATGAACAACAAATGCAAAAGCTCCAAGTCAAAGGCAGACCTGATGGGTTTCAGGAGTAATGGCGAGGCCCTTGTGGCTGTCAGAAGGTGAAGGAGGGAATACAGCAGTGGAACAGAACAGGCAGACCTCAGAGGCCAGACTGTGGCTCTGCAAGGCCACTGTGGGGCTTGCTTTTCCCCTGGGGTGAGATGAAAAACCATGTGAGAGTTCTGAGCAAAGGAATGATATGATCTAATTTATATTTTAACTCAGAGATATGCAGAGAATGGACTGAAGGCAGACCAGCAAGACCAGTAGGGGACCGTCACAATACATAGATGAGAGAATATAAGCAGGAAACTCAACCACTGTAAAAATACTGAAAGTGTTAGAATCTGGATGTATTTTGAAAATGATTTGCTGAAACTGAATGTGGGGTATAAATGAAAGAAAAGAATCAGCCATGATGCTTGGGTTGGGGGCAAGCATTAGAAAGACAGTGTTCCCATTGACTATGATGAGACTGTGGCGTGAGCAGGTAGACAGAACTCAAATGCTCTGTTTAGGTCATGACAAGTTTGAGGTGCATAGAAGACATTGATGTAAAGATGTCCGGTGAACAGTTGAATAAATTTATCCAGATTTCAGCAG